TAGTAAATCTAATGAATCATCTCTTTTTTAAGAGTACTTTTTTAAATTCTTCCCAGACCATTGGTCTGATTTGGCCTCAGATCACTTTCAAACAAAGCTGGCAAAATATTTTAAGCAATTTATATAACTTATTGTCAGGATGGTTGCCTATATGCCAAAATAAATCTGAACCCAATGCTTGTATACTTCTTTTATTCATTGCTTTGACATATTGGCATCACAATTTGTGTCATATAGTGACCTTTACCACTCCACAGTGACACTTTTTGGTCAAAAGCAAATCGATCTTAAAGACTTAAAAAATAAATTGCTCTCACCAAAAATAACAATATTTACTACCCCTCATTTACATTTTCATTTAGTCATTTAGCAGACGCTTTTATCCAAAGCGACTTACAAATGAGGACAAGGAAGCAATTTACACAACTAAGAGCAACAATGAATAAGTGCTATAGGCAAGTTTCAGGTCTGTAAAGTCTAAGAAGGGAAGTATTAGTAGTAGTAGTATTTTTTTTTTTTTTTGGGTACAGTTAGTGTGATATTCAGAGAGGCAATTGCAGATTAGGAAGTGAAGTGGAGAGTAAATAGTTGAGTTTTTAGTCGTTTCCTGAAAATAGCGAGTGACTCTGCTGTTATGATGCAGTTAGGGAGTTCATTCCACCAACTGGGCAGATTGAGCGTGAGCGTGAGCGAAAGTGATTTCTTCCCTCTTTGGGATGGAACCACGAGGCGACGTTCATTCACAGAATGCAAGTTTCTGGAGGGCACATAGATCTGCAGAAGGGAGAACAGATAAGAAGGAGCAAGGCCAGAAGTCACTTTGTAGGCAAACATCAGAGCTTTGAATTTGATGCGAGCAGCAACTGGCAGCCAGTGCAAACGGATGAGCAGCGGAGTGACATGTGCTCGTTTAGGTTCATTGAAGACCACTCGTGCTGCTGCGTTCTGGAGCTGCTGAAGAGGCTTGATAGAGTTAGCTGGAAGCCCAGCTAGTAGAGAGTTGCAATACTCCAGTCTGGAGAGAACAAGAGCTTGAACAAGGAGTTGAGCTGCATGTTCAGTTGGAAGGGTCGTATCTTTCTGATGTTACAGAGTGCGAATCTGCACGATCGAGCAGTTCTAGAAATGTGGTCAGAGAAGTTTAGTTGGTCATCAATCGTTACTCCAAGGCTTTTCACCATTTTAGTAATGGTTGCCCCATCCAAAATTACCCCTCAAGTAGTTCTTTATGAGTTTAGTATTGTGTTTATTATGTTGAAACCAGCAACCATGGACTTTCATATATAGGAAACACAGGCACTATGGAAGTCAATGGTTACAGGTTTCCAACTCTCTTCAAAATATCTTTTTTTTTTGTGGAGAAAGTAAGTCAAACAGGTTTGGAGCAAGTGAAATCCTTAAATCAGTTTTGGGTGAACTCTCCTTTTGAAATCATCTTAACATTTCTGCAGATTGTCTGAAGCATGCTTAGCTCCTTATTTTGCCTCTATTGTTCTCAGCCCAGATAACTGCTGCTTGCAGCTATAATCATCACTATTGTTGTTTTAATTATTATTGCGTTTACTGTATTTCAAAACAATTGGAATATCAGATTATTGTTTAATATATTTTGGCTTAATACAAACATCATATCCATTACACTCAGTGAGTCATGTGGTGGCAAATCAGAGAGTGAAAAAGCAGAAATAGATCAGATGGAGAAAACGAGGCCGATGAGCGCAAGAGTAAAAAGGAAGGTTCATCACTCTATGTGACAGAACCACTGTGAATTTTTAGTGTTGGTGACTCACAGAAGCCGATGAAACATCATCATCTGACTGTTTTATTCATGCACATAAAACCTCATTCAAACAAACCTGTTCAAATCGGCTGTTGCACAGGTGGAAGAATGGCCCAGATACCCACTTTTACCACGGCAGCATGAAAAATGTGACCCTCTAGAAATAACCCTAACAGCAAAGCAAGAAGTCATAATCTATTCCGCAACCCAGTTTTCGCCTTTGTTGCTCATCAATAACCACACAACACAAGAAGTCACAGTACGGTGCGGGTAGTTCTGGATGCAATGCCACTGTGCGAGATGAAAATGCTCTTCGTTTATATGGGATAATAGGATTTTCAACCACTCACCAGTAGAAAACTACTCTCAGCCTCGAGTTTAAAACAGATCCTCAGTAGCACTTTAGCTTTAACCTCTTCACAAATGCTTGAAAATCCCTGTCTATGATACTTAAAATCACACTTCCAAAATGGAAAAATCCAAATTCTGCCATAAAAGAAGATATTTTGAAGAATGTTGGAAATTGACTTCCATAATACGCCTTTTGTTTTTCATTCTATGTATGTCATTGGTTGTGAGGTTTTCAACATTTCTCAAAATATCTTCTTTTGTGCTTAACAGAAGATAGAATCTTATAAATGTTTGGAATCATTTGAGGAAGAGTAAATAGTGAGTAAATATTTACAGGCAATGTGTTTTGCTGCATTTAAGCTAAACAGATTTATTAAACAGATATATTTATTAAAATTATATTTTAGACACCAAATATATTTAGAAATTTAAAAATAATACAATTGAATTCAAGCAAAATATTGCAAAAATAAATAAATAAATAAAATACAACCTACAAATTTTCAACTAAATGTTTGGAATCATTTGAGGAAGAGTAAATAGTGAGTAAATATTTTCATCTTTGGGTGAACTACCCCTTGAACCAGCTGTAACTGCTGCCTTCCGTAACCTGTATTGAATTTAGAACCATAATCATACATTTTTATTCATATTCGCTGAGAGAAGCTGGGGTTAATTTAGATTTGTCCTGCATTTGACCAAGGACATTACAGGTTGCTCTGTATTTCCCCAAGCAGCAAAACTGACCTGTTTATGTCAGTATTTCGCACTCACAAGGCAATTGTGGAAGTACTGTTGCCATGGAGTTTTTTTTCTCCTCACATTTTCTCTCTTGTTGTGTCACTGCTGTCCATCGATGTGTTGGAAAATACACTACAAGAGCCACTTAGTACTTCAAAAACACAACACCTTACCTGAATATATATATATATATATATATATATATATATATATATATATATATATATATATATATATATATATATATATATATATATATATATATATATATATATTTATTTATTTATTTATTTATTTATTTATTTTTAGCCCTTCATTACAATTTTTTCTTTTTTTAAATATTTCCCAAAATATGTTTAACCGAGCAAGGAAATTTTGTATGATTATTTTTTTTTCTGTCACAGTGTAATGTCTGCTAATATTTTACTTCTGGAGAAACTCTTTTTGTTTTATTTTGGCTAGAATAAAGCAGTTTTTTAAATAACATTTTAAGGTCAAAATAATTAGCTCCTTTAAGCAACATTTTATTTCATAAGTTTACAGAACAAGCCATCGTTATACAATAACTTGCCTAATTACCCTAACCTAATTAACCCAGTTAAGTCTTTAAATGTCACTTTAAGCTGTATAGAAGTGTCTTAAAATATATTTTGTAAAATATTATTTACTGTCATCATGGCGAAGATAAAATAAATCAGTTATTAGAAATGAGTTATTAAAACTATTATGTTTAGAAATGTGTTGAAAAAAAATCTTCTCTCCTTTAAACAGAAATTGGGGAAAAAATAAGCAGGGGGGGCTAACAATTTTGACTTCATCTATATCTATGTATATAGAGATAGATATAACAATGAAAAGTTAGACAACTATTTAGTCAAGGTTATTTTTTTTATCTATAGGGAAATTATTATATAATACTAAAGAACCACATAGCCGTAGCATAATGAGGATCATTTAGGTGTAGGTTTACGTTTTGGTAAAGATAAAGCCCATCGACAGCTTTTCTACTTTTATTTTTGAGGGTGTATCTAAATATAACAACAGCACTTCACAAATCAGCCTATAGTTTTAACTGAAATTGTAGGAAGTAATTGACTTTTTAAATACCTACAGTGCAGCATAATTGAGTTCACCCCATTTTGAAAATGAATATTTGTATCCATTTCTCAGTGAATACAGGCAATGTGTTTTGCTGCATTTAAGCAAAACAGATTTATTAAACAGACATATTTATTAAAATTATATTTTAGACACCAAATATATTTAGAAATTTAAAAATTATACAATTGAATTCAAGCAAAATATTGCAAAAAAAATAAAATAAAATACAACCTACAAGTTTTCAACTAAATTTTTCAATTTTTAGTTTTTTTCTTGATTTTTTTTCTCTCTTTTAAATTGGTATTTAACATTTCTCTGTAACATATGAATTTTGCCGTACAATTTTTTGCATCATTATCGTAAGTTATTTTGTTAGATATGCTCCAGATTTGGCTTCAGTTTTGACTAATTTAATGTATACTGTATGCACAAATATAATATTGTATAGTTCATATAATTTCTATATGAATTAAAAAAATTAATTTGTGAGGAGTGTACTTATGCTGAGCACTATATACATACATATATATAAATATATATATATATATATATATATATAGCCCCTTTATAAGTATATGCAAGGAAATACACAACTGATGTTTAGGCAACCTCGGTTGTGGTGCAAAATACGTATACGGTAATATTTTAGCTGAAATGCATCTTGATGATTACATTTTCCATTTTCTATAAAATTAGGGGGGAAAACATAGAAAAATTATTATAAACAGTTCAATGTCCTGAAAAATGCACAATTCTCATAGTATTACCATATCATATCTTTGCCTATGGGTTCTCAGTTAGTCTAATTATATTCCATGCAGCCTGCACTAGACGCTGAGGGGTTTCGCCAGAGGATTTTCGGGAACTTATGAAGCCTTAAACGGATTCCCAATTAACTGTCATGAGCATCCAGGGATCCGCTAGAAGCGCTTTCCCATGTTAATAATAAGATGCACGGTGAACACACGCGCGCGCGCTCACAGCATCAGCATCATTCATGATGATGCTCGTCACAGTAAGGATCGTGCACGCTCGTCAGAGATGCGCTCGTGTGTCAGGATAGGCTACTTTCAGATTGATGCGTCATAGTAGTTCTCATCCCGATCACTTTTGGCGCGATTCTGGAGATTTAATTCTGACATCCGCGTCTGATTGAAGTGAGCAGTTAGAAGAACACTGGACTGCACTTTCGCGGGTTTTTTGGTGCGGCGTAACTAATGTTCGGTCACCTGTGCGAGCAGGCAGGTGGTCTCCGAGAATATACGTGGACTTGGAGAACGAGCAATTGACTCCAAACTAGCCCACAATGACAGACAGGATGACACAGGAGACGCGAGGTAAGACTCGGTTCATTCATCTTCTCGTGTGAAAATACCTCGAGTGGAAATGAGTGCTGAAATGCATGTCATCTCAGACGGTCATCAATGTGCCAGCACGCGCTCATTGACACACAGCTGGACATTCATGAGATCTCAGTGGAAGAAACACTGGATTAAGTGGTCACGCGTTGTAAATATGCTTCAGGTTTGATTTATTTCCAAATAGGAGGCAGCCAGTTTGAAGTGTTGTAAAGTCTTAAGTTTCACCGGTGTATTTTGGCTAATTGCAGCCTGGGTATTTATATTTTATGCCAGAAATCATCAAAATATAATGTAAAGACCATTCAGGAAGAGTTCAAAATACACTGTCTTGTGTGAATATATATAAAAAAATTCTCAATATTTCTATACCAAGTTGTCTGACGAACCACATGTCAATGGAGAGTCATTCAGCTGTCAGGCTGTGTATATAAATATCAGTTACAATTGACACGTCTGGTTTTGTGGTACAGTGTCACATTCTTGTTGGCTTTTCTGATAAGATGCTTTAGTTTCTGGCAGTGATTAATGGTTTAATCATTCTGCTACTTTTAGCACAATATTTAGACGACTGCTTGTTTCTGGAGCATTTGCTCACACCTAATGTCTAGTATTAGTTGGATATACACCACATAAAGCCTTTTTAAAAGTTAATGAGAATCTCATTAAATATTTATTTGTCAAGTTTATGTAGTTATCTCTCTTTCTCTACAGCGTGCAAGGAGTAAAATCCCATTTGTTCTTTTTCTTTGCACACTATGGACACATTATTTTTAAATTAAAACCATGGCTATACAATTTAGGCACTAAATAACAATTTGTTTTTAAATGACAAGTCAAGGAAGAGATTGAATGGAAGCATTTTATTATATTAATGGGAAAATGTTCTGGGTAGTAACTGATTACATAACCTGGATTGCATCATCAGTTTGCAAAAATGTTTTATGTGTAATTTGATTGTATTACATTTTCAAACACTCACGATCAGATTAATTTGTTTTAATGGATTGCTGAATACTTCAGTGACCATCACTAATTAGTGATTCTGCAAATCTTGCTGAAATACAGTATTATTTAAAACCTGAGAGTCAGGAAACTTTAAGACTCTTGCAGTACAATGTCATTTGCATGTTTAGTAGCCTTTGTTTATGTAATGTAGGGATTCCATGTAATGTAGGGAACTTTTTTCCTGTTACCAAATTTGTTTGCTCTTTGATGCACTTTTTTAAAACGTAGTGAGGAATTTGAAAAATCTGATGAGTTGAAAGGTGTTATTTTAGTAATTTCAAATGAATGTTCATGGTGTTTCCCAGAGATGGGTTGCGGCTGGAAGGGAATCTTTCATTCATTCATTCATTTTCTTGTCAGCTTAGTCCCTTTATTAATCCAGGGTCGCCACAGCGGAATGAACTACCAACTTATCCAGCAAGTTTTTTTACACAGCGGATGCCCTTCCAGCCGCAACCCATCTCTGGGAAACATCCACACACTCATTCACACACACACTCATACACCTGTACCACATGTCTTTGGACTGTGGGGGAAACCGGAGCACCCCGAGGAAACCCACGCGAAGGCAGGGAGAACATACAAACTCCACACAGAAACGGCAGAAACCGAGGTTCGAACCAGCGACCTTCTTGCTGTGAGGCAACAGCACTACCTACTGCGCCACTGCCTCACCCTTGGAAGGTTCATTCCACTGTGGCGACCCCGGATAAATAAAAAAACTACGCTGACAAGAAAATGAATGAATGAATGTTCACGGTTGTCTGATGGTCACATGACAGTCGGATCTTCTCCATATTTTTTTGGGTTTTATTTTGGTGGTTTTGTTGGATTTTATGTTGCTACTATTGCTTTTATTACTTTTTTTTTTTTACACCAGATGATCTTATTTTTTCTCTTTCTGGCGTTTTAGATAATAAAGATCAATGGGTTATGTCAAAAGAAGCTGTCAGAAGTTCTCAAATATTACCCAAAACTGATCAATAATATAGACCACTTTACACAGTAGGACTGTATCTTATGTGTAATCAGTACTCTATTGTGTGATCAGAAGACTATTATTTTAAAGTAATCCAAACACTGGACTCATAAGCTTAATTTAAAACAGTGTGTAGAAACTGGAGTAACTTGATGCAGGCATTGAAGCACCAGCAGGATGTGAGTCAGTGAACTCCGGGTGTGCCTCATTAGTTGCTACTATTTTACTGCTAATAATTTATCTCTAAATGTATCACATGTTCTCTCAGCTATATTTCTTTCATTACTCAGAGGAATTTTTTCAACTTTTGGCATGAGAAACTCATCATAATGATCTGACAACAGCTCCCTGAGACCCTGAAAGATGGCGGCTAAACAAGAAAAACTACCGCTTAAATCTCTCATGAAAATGAATCGTGATTCTAACGACAAACTCACCTCGCACTGTCGCACACATAAATAAGAAAACAGACAATAGCTATGTTTCCATCAAAAAAATGCGAATAAACTTTATGCGCAAAACTGGATTATTGCATAAAAGTTGTGCGAATGAAGTAGCGTTTCCATCCAACGAGTCAAAGCGAACAAAATCGTCACTTCCTGATTAACTGGCGCCAAATATCAACAGTAAAAACTGCATTTGCTGCAGTAGGAGAAGCTGCATCAATCTTTTCTAAATGAATGCGCCTCAGAAGACAATCCTGACAAGCAGTGAGCGCGCAGTGGCGTTTGAAGGTGTCAGACGCGGAGCACAGGCGCTCTCGATTCTGGAGGTCATTAATAATATAATAACATTAATACTGAAATGGTAAGGCGTTTTATAATGACCAAAACAACATTTCAGATGTTTTGTAATGTGCTCAGCCTGACGTTTTGTCCATTCATACACCTTTTGAGCATCACATGATCTCTTTTAACAAAATCACATGACCTTTTTTAATGCACATGCTGGAGTTTGTGCGGTAAAAGTGTTTCCATCGCAGTTTATGCGCATCTTTTTTATGTGCATAAGTTTTTTATGCGCATTTTTTAAATGTATGCGCATCATGGCGTTTCCATCAACTGTTTTTTTTATGCGCATTTGCAAAATGGCTAATATTGAACTGTCAATTTCAACTCTAGCTGAGCAGGTCGACGAAATGCAGGTCAGGATTGATGCTAACAAGGACAATTTGAGACTCTTGCACGTGAATTGTAAAAATTGAAAAGGAGATAACCTTTCTAAAACAGTGTAGGAACTGTAGTTTATGAAATGTAAAATACCACATACAGTAATTTATAATGCCAGCTATTTCAACATTTATGCATGCAGTTTACAAATAAGAGTTTTAAAAAACTAATCTTTTAATATACACTCACCAGCCACTTTATTAAGTACACCTGTCCAACTGCTCATTAACTCAAATTTCTAATTAGCCAATCACATGGCAGAAACTCAATGCATTTGGGATGGTTGACATGGTCAAGACGATCTGCTGCAGTTCAAACCGAGCATCAGAATGGGGAAGAAAAATGACTTAAGTGACTGAACGTGGCATGGTTGTCTGTGGCAGATGTGCTGGTCTGAGTATTTCAGAAACTGCTGATCTACTGGGATTTTCATGCACAGCCATCTCTAGGGTTTACAGAGAATGGTCCAAAAAAGACAAAACTTCCAGTGAGCAGCAGTTCTGTCATGTCAGTCATGTCCATGCCTTTACGACCACAGTGAACCCATATTCAGATCGTTACTTCCAGCAAGATAACGCACCATGTCATAAAGCGCGAATCATCTCAGATTGGTTTCTTGCACATGACAATGAGTTCACTGTCTCTAGTGGCCTCCACAGTCACCAGGTCTCAATCCAATAGAGCACCTTTGGCATGTGGTGGAACGGCAGATTTGCATCATGAATGTGCAGCTGACAAACCTGCAGCAACTTCATGATGCTATCATGTTAATTTGGATCAAAATCTTTGAGGACTACTTCCCGTACCTTGTTTATTCTATGCACCGAAGTATTAAGGCAGTTCTGAAGACAAAGAGGGGCTCCAACCCGGTAATAGTAAGGTGTACCTAATAAAGTGGCCGGTGACTGTATAATTATGCACACTATAAATGATCATACGTCCTTTTTATGATACTACTGGTGGTAGATATATTTAAAGATGCAGCTTTAGTAGTTGTATCAGCACCAATCAGCAATCTCTATTGTGTATGCAGTGCAACTTCATTAATATGCAGAATAGCTTCAAGACCGTTTGTACTTGAAACAGTGTTCAGACGGCAGAGAGACGACACGTTGTGTTGCCAAAAGAAGTGGGAAAAGAAGAGGAATTGTTTGGAGATACAGGTCGTCAGTGTTGCTTTTATAATGTGCTGCAATGAAGGTTTTGTTTTCATTTTCCAACTACGAGAACGCAACTGGACTGTGTGGAGCAGTGCACGCGACACGCGGCAGAAATAAGTTTGTATGAACACTTTTTACTCGAGAGCTTTTCGCATCCGGAAATTGTGAAATCCGGATTTGCTGCTCGTCTCCTTTTAATAAAGACGCAGCTCCAGTTGGTGTTATAGTCCTGTCTCTACAGATTTAGTAAGTGTGTGCGTTCAGTGCCCTTCCTTGTTCAATTAGATGGCAAAGTTATAGTTAGTATCGTCAGCAGTACTCTTCCAGTGTTTAGAGACAGACCTTAGTCAAAATGATTTCTTTAATAAGTTACTTAGTTTACGTTAATTTCACTACAATATTATGGACTGAAAGATCTGCTGTAAATGCTGCTCTGAGTGTAAACATGTAAACACTGCAAGCAAACTATTGCCAACCGTCGTGTTTAATTTTCGCCGCATTTTGCCACAGGATAGTCTACACACACATGGCTTTCTGACCTAGCAAGTGCATCTGAGTTACAGAGAAATGCAGAGGTTTTTTCTCTTATACGACGTGCGATATCAAACATTCCACCGTCATTAAACACAGTCACTGTGCCCTATCATACACCCGGCACAGTGT